TACCCTGCATATGTGAAGATCGCGCGCAGAACAAACTTTGGATCTCCCGTCAAACTCAGTAGATTGTCCATTTGAACAATTCACACAAAGACTCATTTGTTTGTCCTTGTCGACAGAGTGACGCCTTTTCGCAAGAACAGTTCTCGGGTATGTATCACTAGATGACATTGTAAACTCTACTTCCGTAACTTACATTTCTGTGGTTGAAATTTAATGCGCCAGTATAATTCTTCCGCATCGATTTTATGACGATGAGTTCATGATGGAGCATTATACGCAGCGTCATTTCAAACCGCCAGAATTTCCTCATTTTTGATAATCTTGTTAAGATCATAACCTTTTCAGTCAAATAACAATGCGTGTCTTCCGTTCCTGGGTCAGAATTCAAGGCGGCTTTCTCGATCTTTGACAAAGACGGCGACGGGACAGTGACCAGTGATGAACTGGCAGTGGTGCTGAGGTCGATTGGCCTTAACCCGACCAAGAGGGAGCTAGACATGATCATCAAAGAAGCGGACACGGACGGTACGAAAATAAATAATTTATACATGCATGTGTGAATGTCATGTCAACAATTTTGTGGCTACGGTTTAAACCATTGGCATAATTATATGCGGCAACGGAAGATAGAGTAGGGTAGTTTATACAAGCATGCCGCTTCGGACAAGACCTGTGGAACAAATACTGATGGTATGTGACCCATCGATCTTTGTTCACGCGACTCTGGTCATGCGCATTTTTTGGTGTATTACCTTGATGACACGCCCACTTTAGACGATTAATGCTGACCTTTGAACTTTGGTTTGTCAGGTAACAACATGATCGAACTGAACGAGTTTCTAGCCACCATGACTCAAAAGATGATGCAGGAGGGAAGAGGTCAGGATGATGACGTCATGACGGAACAGGAAATCAAGAAAACCTACGATGTCTTCGACAGCAATGGTAATGGTTACATAAGGTGAGAATGAAGACAAAAGTAATTACCATTACAGTGCGTTACATTTGTTATTCAAAAAGGTTAAGGTCATTCGGGAAAAAAATCACGCGAGGAAGTCAGTGTATGGCTGCGCGTATAGGCAGACCTCGCGCTCGCGTATTGCTGTTCCTGAACTTGATGACGCCGGGCGCGCTTCATTTTGGACATGCGCTGTTAGAATACCGAACTGGCTCATTCAGAATTTGTAGTATTACGATGATGAGATTTAGATATTACGTCTGCTGACTACCTTATCTGTGGTGAAAAAAGAACTAAACATATACTTTTGAACACTCTCCTGACGACTTAGGCTTTTACATAGATAAAAATTAAGAAAATTTGAGATGTTTCTTATGTAAAATAACATACATAGGCCTACAGGTCAGTTTACTATACGTTTATTGTAAATTTAGTGCTGCTGATATTCGGCGAGTTGGAACACTCTACGGTGAGTGCATCACAGATGAAGGAGCCAATCAGATGATAGGAGAGGCAGACACAGATAGCGACGGGCGTGTCACGTATGAAGGTAAGGCTCGGTGCATTTGGCATTTCAGGATGGGTAACTGCGCTGTAGAAATCTGCGGTTTTGAGACAGCGACATTATTTTGATGGAGTGGCTGACCATTTTTTTTAACCAAGACTGCTGATCATATACGTTTAATAAAGCCTCACATTTCTTTTATCTTGGTTACAAGTCTGTTTGACAAAAATACCGTCTTCGACGCCTTTTTTTCAAGTTGGATTTGCGAAATGAGGTACTTTTGCAAAACAGTTATTGTTTTTTCCTTTCCTTGGTCCAGACTTTCTGAAAATGATGACCTCACCGTAGAATGGAAAGAATGCGTCTGATCCCGCCTCCAAAGGAGACTTTCGTTTTAATTTTCAAGCAAAATAAAGATGTAATATACATTATTGGCTTAGGGCAAACTCACAAAAATACAATTATTTATTGAGGTAATACGGATGTAAATTATGCGGAAATATAAACCAATATTTACATGTATACAGTGCTACTAACTGATAACCATAGGAGTGGTTCATTTTGTGTCATGTTGCAATGAACATTATAATCTTTGGGTGTACTTAATGCATTTTAAAGACATTGTGCTTGGACTTTTTTTCAGGAATGGCACCTTATGAAATTGAACATAAATATGTAACTGCAAATTAGGGATAAGATGTTTTTAGAGTGCAGAGAAGCAAAGTGAGGTAAGAAAAAGAGAATACTTGTCATGCAAACTTTGTTTATTCGGAGATTATTAAAAAAAACTTTGTTACAAATAGCTATAAGAAATTAAACTTACTTGTATTACATAAAACACACTTGAAAATGATTCACGTTGCTCTTTTCAAAAAGTGTTGGGTTTCAGAAACTCAATGTCGACATGAACAGATGGAAGCTTTGTCTGTCAAGTGAGACACCACGACCCACTCTCCCAGGGTCCATCTCCGCCCTATAAACGGTCAGGAAGAGGGGCGACATGGGTGGTGAAAACCTGGTTTCGATCCATCAATGCCCACTATTGTGTAAAGGGAAAAACCTGTCTTGAAAATAATGTACCACTTGTCTACCCATTACAGAGGGATCAGCCGCGTTTAGTGGCATGTAAACATGCGAAGGGCAGATGTGCTACATGCGCTACAACACGCGCTTCAAGGTGATCGGGTAGACCATTTCCTATATAGTGCCTAACCGCCAACACCACCAGAATCCTGTTTTTATGGGAAGAAAAATGAACCGCGCAATGTCTGCGTGGATTACCAACACAGACCTCTCTGCCATTGTGTTAGTATAATAACGAATTACGTGTAAATACAGTGCTAAGATTTAAGTACATTGAAATCATTTACATTGGGAATTCTTTGAGTCAGACCGCGTTTTGATGACTATCAAATCTTTCACTTGGGAACTAACGCTTACATTAGTTTATTTGAAAGTGGAC